TTCTTGGTCAATTATTGGTATTAGTCAATGTGTTAATTAATTATCGTACCCGACGTCATCATCGAAAGTATACAACCAATATCACAGATTGGTATTGCAACGCGACGAAAGTTCCTAAAAACGATAGCGACAATTCATTAGCTTTAAAATCCGTTTAAAATCTTGGTTTAAAATATATTTAGATATATTTTAACAATTAAAAAAAATATTTGAAATATAGAAAAAGGTCTAACTTTCTGTCCTTTTATTTAAAATAATTTTTAGTGTACCCATAGGTTGAAATTAATGCTGAAACTAGTGGTTATTTTGATTTGTTTATTGACTTACCGCTTAAAGCATTCGCTACAAACAACGATAGTTCTAAGAAGAACTGTTTCGAAAAATATAAAAGCAACTCATAAAGCGTACAACAATCATAACAATAACGTAAGATCAGCTCTCAACATCTGATTACTAATTTAAAATTGTCCAAGCTACCACTACATATTGAGATATGCAGCCAATATTACACAGGTCAGGTGGGTTGCGATAATTAATTAACACAGTGTATTATTGTACAAAATTTTTGCCTTCATAAAATCATAAAAATTATTATTGATTTAAAAAAATTTATTGACGTTCTTAGAACGACCTACACAGTTTTCATCATAGAACACGCGATAAGCTCTGGGAAGCCTTTGAAAACAACACATAAACTGACCTCGTTAGGACTCCGAAATATGTTTGTAAAAAATAAATTTTTCAGTTGCAACTTTTCATGTTGATTATAAAGTTGTCAAAGCGGTCCCGCGAAACCACGAATTAATCCGGAGGGGTGTGTATAGGGCCGGGACTTTTTAAAAGCGGACGTGATGTAGGTGTTTCCTGCCAAATGAAACGCGTCAAAGTTTCGCTTTTATTGCGGCCTGAATGTTTCAAATTTAGGGGTTGACAACCCTTCTTTGTTCATATATGAAAACGGTCAGCAAACGAGCGTCCCCTCCCTTTTTTTCACACACAAACCGTGGTTTTAATATTTTTCACCGCGTCCTCATATGAAAAAGGGTTTATTAATGAAAAGAGTTCGTGTCATGTAGTAAATGAGAAGACTTCAATTTTTGGTGGAAAATAGAACAAAAAAGAAAATAAATAAATTCACCACTTATACAATCCAAGAGATGGTTATCAGCATTTAAATAATTTTAAATACCAAAATATGTTTCTGAAAAAGCATTTATCAAAGATATAAAGGATAGTTTTCAATAATATTGCAATGAATTTTATTTATAAAAAAATTTTAGAAGTATAACAAGATAATGTTTTGCAGCTTTTCCCAGTGGTCTAGTCTGCTTTACCCATAATATAGATAAATATTGTCATATTTTTACCGTTTTAAGACCAAAATACAAAAACGCGGAACACACGTTTAGGGTATTATTGTTTTTGTTATAATTCAGCACTATTGCTCGCGTTTGAATCGACTAGGGCACTAGGTCACTAAATCTAACGGCTTCATCCTCTGTAGCCCTCGTTGTCGAGAAGCTGGATGGCCTCGATGTTGGGATGATCGTGCATTCTCTTCTCATGTTTAGATGCGAATGATGCACTTTCTGATGACACCGATGCTACTTTCAAGTCGCGATGGAGGTCGGTATTTCTCATATACCAGGGTGCATTCACTATGCACCTTAGTACATTGTTCTGAAATCTTTGAATCAGACTTGCATTTGTCTTGCAGGTACAACCCCACAGTTGGATTCCGTATGTCCATTTTGGTTTTAATACTTGCTTGTTTATTAGCAACTTGTTACTTAGTGATAGCGTTGATTTTCTGCTAATAAGGTGCAGAAAATATAGGTGTCTAAATTTGATATCAAGTTCCTCACGTTTTTTTTTGACGTGAGCTTTCCATTTGAGTTTGTCATCGAGCGTCATACCAAGATATTTTGCGGTGTCAATGTAAAGTAAAGTAAAGTTTATGTATGTCGATTTATTTGTATTTAGTTTTATTAGCCATCGTTTGGTCCAGTTTTCTATTCAATTTAAGGCCTATTGTAACTTATTTGCAGCAACTACTTCATTTTCGTCATCTGTGAATAGATAGCTGTTAAAGTTTCTGGTACCTGAGGAAGATCGAATATGTGTAGAGTACAGTGTTGGGCCAAGCACACATCCTTGAGGAACTCCGGCTCGTATTTCATGTAGTGGTGAATAAGCGTTTTCGTATTTACTCTAAAATATCGATCAGAAAGATGCGATTTTAATAGTTGGCTATATGTTGATGGTAGTATTTGGTCTAGTTTGTAATTTAAAGCATCTAACCAGACTTTGTCGAAAGCTTGTGCAACATTCAGAAATGCGGCGGAGCAGACTCTATTTTCTTCGATTGCTATTTCAATAGTATTCCTTATTCTATGCACTTGGTCTATTGTTGCATGTTTATTCCGAAACCCAAATTGATGTGTTGGTATTAGGGCTTTTTCTTCTATGACAGGTTTTAGTCTTTTTAATAGTAACTTTTCAAGCAGTTTTGATAGTAAGGGTAATAATGAGATTGGCCTATATGATTTATCATCTGTGGGGGTTTACCAGGTTTTTTTATCATTATTATTTCAGCAACTTTCCATATGCTTGGGAAGTATTTTTGTTTATCGATTAATGCACTTACAGTTTTCTTATTCCTATAACATTTGTATTAAATTTTGTACACCACCATTGAATTAATTAGCGTTCCAAAAATGGTTCTCTCTGACAGTAAGCATTAATGATGTGTAATAGTTTTGTAATCGCCCGTTTTGGTAGATGTTTCAATGCTTCTCCATTAAGCATTGAGCCTACTGATTTCTTTATATTTAGTTTTTGTATTTCATAATACAGTTCTTTCATTCTTACACATGGTACATCACTCTGCTGATCACTTTGAATTAATCTAGGGACACTATTTAGCATAGTTGTTAGACTGTCTGATGTAAAAGTTTCTTTCAGATGTTCAACAAACAAATTAACTTTTTCTTGATTGGCATCGTCAGTAAGATCTTTTAAGTAATTTTGGATATTATTATCTTTGTAGCTATCTGTTAATGCTCTTAATTCGGCTGTTATTTTATTTAATTTAGTTTTATCACTAGGAATTCTATTGGTTTGCCATTTCTTTCTTGCTTTTCGTTTTTCTGCAATTTTATCTCTAATGAATTTAGGATAAATATTAGATTTAGGTTTTGGTGTTAAAATTGGCGTTGAGGCCCAGGCTGCATTTTGTATTTCTTTTAAGAACTTTTCTACTTCATTGTCAATGTCTTCGCTTGTTTTCATAAGAGCATTAAGATGAATTTTATTATGTAATGGTTGTAAAAATAGATTCCAATTAGTGAGTTTATTAGTTAGTAATAAAAAGGGTTCTTTGTTACATACTTTATTATTTAGAGTAATAATTACTGGTGAGTGATCTGAGTCCAGCCCTAACTCTTCTTCTATATTTACGACGTTAAGCGATATATTTTTCGTAATAAAAAAATCAAGCAGGTCCGGAATTTTACTTCTATCTGTTGGCCAGTAAGTTGGCTTCCCAGTGGAGAGCACCTCACAATTTAGGGCCTCTATTGCATGGTTCGGTTCTCTTTCTTTTGTATTTGTCAAGCAAGAACCCCAAGACATATGTTTTGCATTAAAGTCTCCTCCAAGTATAAATTTGTTGTCAAGATGTAGTAGAATTTCCTCATAATCTTCTCTTTTGAGATTATGTCTCGGTGGTATGTACGTTGCTCCTACAGATATTAAGCCATTAGCAATTTGAACTTTTACCACTGTAGTTTGGTGTTGTTCAGTACTAATTGTATTGCTCAAATAGTGGTCAACATTCCTTTTAATAATAATTGCACTTCCACCTCGAGCCGCATTACTAGGGTGAATTGTGTGATAAATGTTGTAATGGTTGATGTTTATATACGATTCTCGTGTAAAGTGAGTTTCGGAGATAAGACATATATCAATATTGTTTTCTTTAAGTATTATTGGTAGTGTGTTTTGATGCTGTCGAAGACCATTGGAATTCCACAGCATTATTTTTAGTTGCAGCTTTTTAGACATTTTAATTTCTTTTTTGAATCGCTCCTTGGTTTAAATTGCATATGACGTGCATATAATTGTTTCTCCTTGTTGAATTATTTTTTCTAGTATTGGATCTAATTTACTGTCAGCCTTCTTATCGATTAATGTACTTACAGTTTTCTTATTCCTATAACATTTGTATTAAATTTTGTACACCACCATTGAATTAATTAGCGTTCCAAAAATAGTTTTCTCTGACAGTAAGCATTATTCTGTTCCGAAAATCCGACATCTCCTAATAGGTTTCGTGCACAATAGTTCTACAAAGAAAAAGGAAAACGATAAAAACCCCATCGTAAAAGTCATGAAAGAGTCGTTAACATCGCGGGGACGTTTCGAAAAGCTTTATGCCGCTTTAGTGTGGTAAATTTGTTTGAAAATTAGCGGACGCGTAAGCGTTACAAAAAGAGCACAACATCCGCGTCGAGCTATTCGTCCGGCTTAGGCACTTTTTTCCGAGAGCCGCCAACCAACGGGGACAAATTTTCGTTTGCGAAGCGTCGTATTTTTGCACCATTAGAGCTGGAAATCGTCTCGCTCGCATTTCCCCGGCACAGTTTAATCGGCATTTCATAAATAGCGCCCTCGATTAATTTTGGCGACGACGACTCGACTCGGCTTTAGTTTTCAGCCGGATTGAAACCGGGGGTAGCAGACTACTAACTAGGTCGGGAGGGTTTTCGGCTTTGGACTTAACTTGTCTCGCTTAATATATATACCGTTCCACGCGCGTGTATAATGTGTAAAGCTCAAAATAAAACTCGACTGGACGAATAAATTACGTCTCTACTAGTTATCAAAGCGCAACTTTTGGCATTGCATTACTGAATACACTCAAATATTCAGACCACACTCAAATATTTGAATACTCACCCATTTTTACTTATTTATTTATTTTTTAATTATTATTTTAGCTGCTATACCCGAAGCAAGAGAATGTCCATATTTTGGACGTTTCAACGTGGATAGTATGATAATGAACAAGAGATACACCAGATCGGCAAGGGCAAGATCGGAAAGGCCTTTGGCATATTTTGACGACGAAGAGCGATATTTAATGGAAATGTTGAGGAATGTGGCCGGTAAGACCCGAAGGATAAAAAGGGTGGAACAGCAACGGGGTGCTGTAGGCTGTGATAACGATGGCTATTCCAGTTTAATAGTTGGCTGCAATTCCGTGGATACAATGGAGTTCCGAATTGACTGTCCACCATCCGATTTCATCTCATGTGAGTATATAAGCTTCTTATCAGAGGTCCCGAATGTTTTTTTTTATTTGTCATATCAACCTTCAAACATACTGCAAAAATAGAATTTAGAATAAATAGAGTTGATGGATATCGATCGGGCAAGAAAATTGAAAGATAAACTTCAAATAGTAGTTCTACCTAGATGTTTCATTATTTTTCAATTCCTAGTTGAGAACTTCTGGTGGAAAAGATTTCCCGCGATACGCCCCTTTATTGCGGGGCTTCGTTCGGAAAATGGGCAGCAGAGATTTCCTTCTCTGCCGGACTGAAAGGGTCGTATAGTCTCCAGGATGGCGTCATAACATACCGCCTTTGCCCGTATAACAACTTTTTCCCGAATCATCCCCTTCCGTAGATTCCTATTGGTGGCACATAGTTTCCTCGGGAAATGGGGCAGATAAACCTTTTTTTCAGCGATAGGACCAACGGGGAATTGGACCGTTCGACGACTTTTCCCCGCTTGTTTATGTATTCGTCACGGATGAAAATCGTTGATAAGGTCAATATTTGGAAGTAATATTTATTTCGATCATAAAAACTGAATTTTTATAGAACACGATTGCGTCGGAATATTATTTACTTATTTTTCTCCTTCTATACATTATTTATTCTAATTTATATGATATTAAACCATTAAGATTAAATAGTCAATTTCTATTCATAAATTTATAGAAGTAATTATTAAGCAATTAATTTTTCTTTTGTAATTTACAGAAGCCAAAAAATTCTATTATTTTTTTCCTCGATTAATCAGCACGTTGCAATATCCTTAATGCTTTGAAATCTATAAAAAGTATATAGTCAATATACTGGGAACATAAATTATTTACGGCGTCGAATAAAATTCTTGGCATACATCGTATACATAATGTACGTCTTACAACTCAAGTTTTGTGGAACTATATATATCATCACACAGATTCTGATATCTGAAAGCAATAAATGTACATAAAGAACACTTTGATCTTCGTAATGCCAAATCTAGACGTGTTTCGTTATCAGAAAAGATGAGCAATTAAGAAGGTTCCAAATATTTTAGCATAAAAAATTGTTTAGAACTTTTAGTATTGTCACAAAATTTTCTAATAATGGAAAATGCAGCAAAACTTCCATGTAAATCAACCAAGTAAATAGCGAGCGCTATTAATATTGGTACAGGATGTTGCAGCGGTTGTTTTTACCCGTTGCAATTCATATTATACTAATAATAACACCACAAATTGTATTGCTTTGGCTAACTTTGATACTAAATGGCACAACACAAATTATAAGATCTCGACCGCAAGCAAACTCAGCTAAATTTAAAGCATCGAATATATGACATTACGTAATTAACCTGAGGCCCCTTCGGGTTAACGGTTAACAGGTTAATGGGTTATGACATTATCGGTACTTTTTTCAAATGGCAATCCCCCATTTTTATTACGGAATATGAAAGAGGATATTTTCTGAATTTAGTCTTTTTGAATTCGTCCGTATGCCTTTTGGCCTTCAAAATGCAGCGCAAACGTTTCAAAGGTCCATCAATGAAGTACTATCAGACCTAACCTTAATTTTTGTATATTTAGATGATATCCTTTTAGCAAGCCGAAATGAAGAACACATACTTTATTTAAAACAATTATTTCACAAATTAAGTTCCTACGATATCAATATCCAACCCAAGAAATGCATTTTCAGTGTTAAATCATTGGACGTTCTTAGTCATCATATTTCAGCCGATGACATTCGACCATCCTAATCAAGAATCATAGCGATAACACATTTTCCAAAACCAACGACTCTAAAAGAGTTACGAAAACGTTTGGGAATATTAAACCACAGATTCTTACCTAACATTTCAAATATTCTTGATACACACTTTCAAAATCACTTCACTCTCAAAAACAAAAGAAGATTTTATCAACTTCTTGGACACTGCAACATGACAACGCTTTTTCTTCAGCCAAACATCATCCGTCGAAATCTATCGTTCTAGGACCTCCCTCTACACATGCTACTCTATCATTGCAACTAACTGATGCAACTAACACAGGTATGGGAGCTGTTTTAACACAAACCATCAATGAAAAATCTCCACCATTGGCATTCTTTTCCAAAAAATTTACTTCATGCCAAACCAAATATTCAACTTTTGATAGAGAACTATTAGCAATGTACTCTGCCATCAAATTTTTCAAGCATCACTTACATGGAAATCAATTTACAGCATATACAGATCACAAACCCATTGTCACATCAATTTTTTCGTCCACAGACAAAACTTCTCGTCAAACCCGATATCTAAGTTATATTGACAATTTACTTCAGATATCAAACACATCAGAGGAAATTCAACTGTTGTCGCAGATACTCCACCCAGAACAAACATCGGATCTCTAAATTCATCTTATCTAGATTTTCGAACCATTAGCAACGCCCAACTTGCTGACACAGAATTGTCAAACTTACTAAATACACAATTTTCAACAATCCTTCAAAATCTTATCGGTTGGCACATCCAATAACATCACAATCTAACATCAAACTGTGGTGTGAAGCTCTTCATCATCTAAAAGAATTTATATTCCACAACAGTTCAGACAAACGATTTTCGACAATATTCATAGCTTATCTCATCCCGGAATACGTTCCACCATTCATGCAATCAAAACAAGATTCTTTTAGCCACACATGTCAAAGCAAATGTATGTTTGGACCAAGCCTGCATAAAAAGTCAACATGCAAAGATCCAAAAACACACAAAATCATCAACTTCAAAATTCCTAAAATTAGATTTGATCATATACATATCGACATGATTGGGCCACTCACTCCGTCCCTAGGTTGTCAATAACTAAAAGCTAAAAGATATCAGATCTTCTACTATAGCGAACACACTCTTCCAAGATTATTTTAATCGATTTGGTATACTTACCACAATTATACATGATCAGGGACGGCAATTCGAATCAAACCTTTTTTCAAAATTTAACACATTACTTAATGTTTACAGTGATACGTTTTTGCATTGCTGATATAGTAGCAGCCGTTTCAGAAACATCAGTAATAACTCCTGGAAATAATTCTCCTTCGCAGAAAAAGACTACATACTCTCCTAATTTTCTCTCTACTGTTTCTTTAAGGTTTCTCTTCTGCATGTTTTCTCCGCCGCCCTCATCTCTACATTCACTTTTACTGTCGGATGGCATCTCATCCATATTTAAGTCAGAACTGTCTTCGTAATGAAGCATCCGCTTTGCAGCCTTTTTCTTACGCTGCTGAACTTTTTCTTGTTTCGTTTTATCGTTTTCTTCTCTTTTGCTTTGTCTTTCGGCAGCACGTTCCACTTTTCTTTTTTCAAATTCTTCCTTTTTTGCTAACTTTTTTGTAAAATATTCTTGACACAGCTGTCTTGAAACGATAGAGGGCATTTTTTCCTTTATGTGTCGTTACTTTTTCAGTTCAGCTTTATCATTTTGATAAAAAAAGTGTCTTTTAAAGGGGTTTGGGATTTCTGCGGATACTGAAGAAGGTCCAGTTTGACAAAGATTGATATGATTATTACCATCTTTAGCTAGCTCGTCGATACAAGTAGGAGTGTTTGTTTCAGGTGGCAGATTGTTATCATCAATTTTATAATTGATAGACTTGTCGATACGATCAGGAGTTAGCGTTAGACGTAGTAGTTCCCCATCCTGACTGCTTTCATCGGCAGGCTCATTGGTAGGATCAGGTGCATCTAGCAAACTACTTTCTAGTTGTAGTTTTGTGTTCTGCCACAGTTCAAAGAGTGATATATCTTTTTCATCCAACTCTATATTTCGATTGCCTTTACGAAATATATTGAGCTTGCTTTCAAGAATACTCTGATTGGGAATCTTTCAGAAGTTTAGAAAAATATTTTTTCTTTACGACTGGAGCCTCCAAATTGGATAGCCTCCATGCATGCATGTACTCTTTTCTTCCCATGCTCCTTCAGAGTCCTGAAACCGAAACATCCGTTAGTTACAACAGATGTGTCGCATTCGGGTAGAGTGCGATGAGAATGATGACCTTTTTATCACAAAATTGGCTCACTTGCAAACTCAGATGAGACGCGTGCCCATCCACGAAAAGAATAACCAGCAAAGGAATGTTTACTTTCTTCAGCCATAGGTGGAAAATGTCAGCAACAAACTCGAAAAAAGCCTCGCAAGTCATCCAACCAGACTCTGTTTTTCCTAGGCCTCACCTTGGAGGGAAACTCTCTCCAATTTCATGAGGGACCTTTTATATTTAAACAAAGCTGTTGGGGGAGCTGGTGCCGACCAGCTGCGCTATCTGTGACAAGGACAGTTAGACACTCCTTCTCGTCTGGATTAACTTGCTGATACTACTGTCTTGTCCCCGAAATTCGGGTTTAAAAAAAAAAGTTGTCTCATCTGTATTAAAGATTCTTCTTGGATCTTCTAAAATGTGTTTTTGGTTAGTCTCAACCAAGAACGTCTCTACCTCTTTAAACCAATTTAAAAGGCTTTCCTTGGAAATAGCGGACCTTGATCTGGTAAAGTTTTGGGACATACGGATAGTTATCTCAGGCCATTGCAAAAATCCAATTTCTGATAGGAGTTTCTTCTTCTGTACTCAATACGGCCGCTGGACCCACTTTTCTGAATAAGAAATCACCAGATTAACTTAAGTAGGTAGCCATATAGTATGTAAAATGGGTTCTTATTGACACTACGTTTAGAATGGAGACTCCTAACTTGACGACAAAACACCGTATACACAGCTGTATTACCTGTCAATTGGGTGCTTTCTTCAACCTTGTACTTTAAAATGACCCTTGGAACGTTACATTTTTTTGCTGCAGTTTTATATGGAGTTTTATTTAACCGTACATCTTCCACAGCCGCTTCCATAGCCTCTTGTGAAAAACGCATCAAATGACTCGTCATCAAATATTACGTTTATCAAATAATGATAAAATAGATCGAGAATGTGGTGGTAATCAATGAGGTGGTAAACCTTTTGCTTTTTTCCAAAAGTTTTAATTTTTCTGATATCAGTTTGACATTTTTTACGCGACACACTTATTGACTGAATGTGTAACATCAGTGTTTTTTCTTCTGTCACTGAAAACCAGATTTCGTCTAAACCAGGTTATGCTATACCAGCTATACTACTGCAGTTCGCAATGGCTTTGACGAAAAACGTCATCTTATCTTATTTCGACAAAACATCATGAAAAGTACTAGAACTTTTTTGCCAAACTGGACCTCTTACGCTCTTACTAAACTTAGCTCCTTTGTGTGATATAGCTGATAGCCCAGATACCCCAGATAAGTTTTTCATCATCAACTGTTGTTAGGGTTGAAGAACTGTACGAAATTCTCTACCACAGTCAGATTTAAAGTTAAGTTAAAACATTTTTCTAATAAATAACGTGTTGTTGAAACTAAATTAAAAAGATATTTTCCGTTTTTCAGTAAGAAAAATAGGCAAATGTTTTATTATTCTTATATAATGAAATGTTGTGTTCTTTCAATAATCCTGAAATTTTGAGAACAACGTTTCAGACAAATCTCAAAAAATGCTTCTCTAGATTTATAACAGGGAGTATACAACGTTATCTCCTGTTCTGAGAGCCGAACCTTCTTAACTCTGAGTTCGTCTTGCCTCAGCCTCAATTACCGGACGACACGATCATTGAGCACTACCGTTCTAATCCCTTGATTTCACCCGATCAGAGGATGCGTTTCGAGCACGTTTCCTATGTTGAGGTGCTTCGCGCCTTCTCATCTATCAGGAGCACTGCTACGAGTGCTGATGAACTGAACTCAAAATGTCTGGGTGTGCTTTTTCCGGCAGCCGTTGAATATGTTACTCATGTCTTTAATGCGTGCATAGATACTTGTACTTTTCCTGAAGCATGGAAGGAGTAACTTGCGATACCCATACCGAAAAGAAACCCAGCGCAGGATGTAAAGGATTTGAGACCGATCAGCATTCTACCTACTTTAGCGAAGATATTTGAGAAATTGTTGGAGATTCAGCTCTGTCGCCATATTAACACTTTTAACTTGTTGCCTCGCTATCAGTCAGGTTTTAGACCGGGATATGGATGTGCCACTGCCCTGACTTGCGTGATTGATGATATTGTTTCGGCTACGGACAAGGGAAAACTTACGGCTCTTGTACTTCTGGATTTCACGCGGGCCTTCGATATGGTTTCCCATAGAATACTCTTGGCTATACTTATGGCAATGGGTTTGGACGAGGGAGTGGTGGCGCTGATTTGCTCATATTTGGCTAACCGCAGACAGCGAGTTGTTGTTGATCGTGTCCATTCATATTCTTTGGATGTCACGTGTGGAGTTCCCCAGGGTGTTATCCTATCACCAATTCTGTTCGCTTTATATACCTATGTCCTACCAAGCTATCTTCTGGGATGCAACTACCACCTGTACGCCGACGACACTCAGATATACAGATCCTTCTATCCACAAGACGCCGCGGGTGCTGAGAGTATCAATTCTACCTTGGAGGCTCTGCTTAAATACACAATACGACACTGTCTTGTGGTGAACCCAACGAAATCACAAGCTATTCTGTTCGGACCGACACCTGGTTGTGAGTGCAGGGATCAACTCGGGTTGACCGTCGGGTCTGTGCCTATCCCGTTTTTCGATTGTGTTAAGGATCTCGGTCTCTTTCTGGACAGGAATCTGCGTTTTGTTAAGAATACCTCTTAGTTAACAAGTAAGTCATACAGCGCTCTTAAGTCCATATTTCATCAGCGGCATGTTTTCTCCAAGTCCTGTAAGGTCATGCTGTGTGAATCTTTAGTGCTTAGCAACTTGAACTACTTGGACACGGTTTATGGTGAGTTTTTGTATAGAAGGGATAAAGACAGATTACAAAAAGTGCAGAATTCTTGTCTTAGAATGATTTACGGGATTCGACGTCCTCACTATATTAGCCACAAGCTGTCTGACTGTGGTTGGTTAAACTTGGAAAACTGCCGGCGGTTACATTCGGTTAGTTATCTTTATAAAATTTTGATGTCAGGTTCCCCTCCGTATCTGCATTGTAGATTTGTACCCACAAGAGATACGCATAGTGTTAACACTAGATATGCTAACTTATTAACTATCCTCTCGCATAGAACGGAACTGTTCAAACGTACATTTAGTTACCTAGCCGCGATTACCCTGAATGAGATTATTACACGATTTGGATCGTACCTCTCGCTGAGTTGCTACAAAATTGTGTTATATCAGACCGATGATTAATTTAGTTTTGTCTGTGTTTTATTTTTTTTTCTTTTTTATTTATTTATTTTTTTTTTTCTTTTTTTTTATTTAGTTTTGTCTGTGTTTTATTTTTTTTTCTTTTTTATTATTTTTTTTTGTTTAAGTATTATTAGTTAGTTAGCTAACTTTAGATGTGTTTGTGATGACTATTGGAAGATCATGGATCGTCTTCGACGAATTCTGTAAAATAGCTCATTTTGCTTCCCTCAAATTTATATTGTTACAGCTGTATTTGCTATTAACAATTCGATATTGTAGTTTTTTTTATAGTGTTTGTACTTTGAGTGAGCAATAAATTTATTATTATTATTATTATAATCAAAGTGTTACTGTAGTTCTATAGGAATTACATTAATCAGTACCAGAATAAGTATTAGAAAAAGTCTATCAAACCTAGATTAAAATTCAGTTTAAATTTTAACAAATTCTGTTGAATTACAAGTTTTTTCAATTTTTTCCTATAAGCGAAATTGAAATTATAATACAAAGTGAGTGAAAATTCAAATTGTAACTTAGGTAGTTTTAATTTTAAAAAAGTTTTCCACGAACTTTCTTTTGTATACCCAAATTAGTTGGTGCTCGAGTTCACAGAGAAAAATTTAAAAGATAAAACCATAAATTCCGGCTACCCCGAAAATACTCGCTCGCGATTTTTCTTTCCCCCGCGGATTTGCCTTGAAGAATTTATGACTTAGTTTGCATAGTCGTACATATTCATAAGGACGCACGCGGCCATTTCCATATTGGAGGAATTGAAAAATATGCGCGCACTGTACTCAGTTTATTCTTTACATTTGTATGCAAAAACGAACAAGGTTTGGATGATTGATAATTGAATACTGGAAAGGAAAGTAAGTTCTTTTCGCATAAAATACATTGAGTCGTATTAACACAAAGTCGTTTAAAGCGCTTAATAAAATAAAAAAGATTGTACTTAATTTTACTTAAATTGTACAATTTGAAAAATGGGGAATATAAAGAATAAAGGTGCAAGACTAAATAGCTAATTTTTAACGGAACAAACTCAAGTTTTATAAGGAGTTTTTGAAAGAGGGTAAGAAAAGCGGCACGCTGTAGACTCGTTTCGTTCGGAATTTTCGTGTAAACAGGTACTTGAAGTAAATTAAATCGGAAGGAAGCGTTGTTTCTTGAAATGCGCCCTGGCTTTCTCTGCACGAAACGCGCGCCTCGCTGCGAATTTAATTTATTTGCACTACTTCGAAACGCTGACAGGACACTTATGCTGACATCGCGTCGGCATCAAATGAAGAATTTGTAATTACAGCGTTGCCAATTGCGCTTTTATCACGTTTCATACCAAAGGATTCCACTTTTTATTTTCTCCATCTCGAAGTTCGGTTTTGTTCTTGCGCCCCTTAATTGTTCTTGATCAGGCGATGACCACTCAAACACATAATTAAGCATTACGACCTCCCATAACCGCTGCAACAGGCTTAAGGTCCATAAACCATCCCCGAACGTTACGATTTAAGGGTTAACGTCAACTACTAACTGGTAGGGTTTTCTGAGCACTACTCCTTTTAACGACTCACTATAAACGGGGTGGGCCACTCGAAAGTTTTTACTACTCAACCATTTTTGTGACCACTGCAAACACCGGGGTGCCGGAAATGTGATAGACAGATAACGACTGATTAAGTTCGCTTGAAAGACCTCGTAATTTAAGTTTCTTAAATTACATCGGGATGGGGAAAGGATTCATCCAAAAGAAAGGGCTGATAATAAACTTAACGATAAAGATATAAAAAAAATATTTGAGCAAAACATTTAATTAAAGATGTATCATTTTACAGCATACTCATGTCACGGACAATGGGAAGATAATGGTACCAACTACTTGATAACGACGCCCCTTGGCAGAACATCGCACGGGACCAAGAGACACTGCTTCATATATAAGGAGCATGGACCAAATACGGTCCTTTTCTCGACTTCGACCGGAAACTGTGAACGAACTCTCAATCCGGGAGTGTCCGGTGAACTTGTTTTCAATGTCACCAATAACGGTAAGTCCACCCCCGTAGTCGTAGCATTAGGTGGTCGGTCAACGCGATTCGGACAATGGTCAAGCTTTGCAAGTCCTCGAGGCGCGATAATTGGACGAACTGCGAAGTAGTCGCCGTCCTCGAGAACTGCGAATTATATTTAATTCGGGGTCCAAATCCCACCCGTTCTACTCCCTGAGCTTACGCTCGAATGGCCACGTTTAGCCGTCTCGGTTCGCGACTTCAAGTTTCCAAATGCTGAGTTCGTCGGCTTCACAAACGTGAAAGGTGAATGGGCGTCGTCGCGACGCTGAACCGGAGTTCAAAGTGTTACTATACGAGTGTGCAATTGTAAAGAAAGCATTACCGTGCAGACGTCAAGGGTTTTAAATGGATAAAACGGTTGCCTCGAATACGTAAAGTTGTTTTGTTAGGAATGAGATTAATCTCTATAGGTATTCCTTTCGTGTACAAGATAAAAAGTAAAAGTCAATTTGAGTGCCATTTCTAAAGAAGCTTTATTTGAAATGTAGTTCTATTTGTAGCAGAAAGGCTGTTATGCAAATATCAAAAAGTTCACCTATGCGAAGTTAACAACTGTTACGAATAAAGTTTGCTACAACTTTTATACTAAATTTTTTTTCTATAACAATTTGAATCCCGTGTCATACCAACAAGATGTAAAACCACGATTTCATCTAATTTTCACATTTTCGAAAATTTCCAGATATTTATGCATCTCAGAGCAAAAGTGTAAAAGAGTAATATTGTTAAGAATGAAATTTGCTACAACTCTATACTAAAACTTTTTTTTCTAAAACGTTCCGAATCCCATGCTCTACTACCAAGAATACAAAGTAAACTCACGATTTAATCTAATTTTCACCTTTTCGTACTTTGCTCAATATTTATGCATCTGAGAGCAACAATGTAAAAGAGCAATGCTATTAACAATAAAATTTGCTACAACTTTTATACTGAAACTTTTTTTCAAACATGCTTCCAATTCCGTGCTCGATGAACTACAAGATGTAAAACCATGATTTCATCGAATTTTCACTTTTTCGCACTTTGCTCAATATTTATGCATCTGAGAGCAACAATGCAAAAGAACAATACTGTTAAGAATAAAATTTGCTACAACTTTTATACTGAATCTTTTCTTCTAACATATTTCGAATCCCATGTTCGATGAACAAGATGTAAAACCATGATTTCATCGAATTTTCACTTTTTCGCACTTTGCTCAATATTTATACATCTGAGAGCAACAATGTAAAAGAGCAATACTATTAAGAACAAAATTTGCTACAACTTTTGTACTGAAACTTTTTTTCTAACATGTTCCGAATCCCGTGCTCTAGGAACAACAGGATGTAAAACCATGATTTCATCGAATTTTCACCTTTTCGCACTTTACTCGATATTTATGGATCTCAGAGCAAAAGTGCAAAAGAGCAATATTGTTAAGAATAAAATTTGCTACAACTTCTATACCAAATCATTTTTTTTAAACGTTCTGAATCCCGTGCTCAACCAACAATACAAAGTAAACTCACGATTTAATCTAATTTTCACCTTTTTGCACATTGCTCGATATTTATGCATCTAAGAGCAACGTGTAGAAGAGCAATACTGTTGAAAATAAAATTTGCTACAACTTTTACACTAATACTTTTTTCTGACATGTTTCGAATGCCGTGCTCGATCAACTACAAGTTGTAAAACCACGACTTCCTCTAATTTTCATCTTTTCGAATTTTTCTTGATATTTATGCATCCGACAGCAAATACATATATGAAAGAGCAATCTTGTTTTTCCTTATTTTTAAGACCGGTCGTTCTTTAACTGTTGTACTTTCGCGTTTATACTTTTAGATCAACTGACATTCTTTGAACATTTTGTTAGTATTGTTTTTCGTCCTTTTCAAGTAAGTTAAAAAAGCTCTGTTCATTAAGTTAAGTTTTATGTTTTTCAAATTTACTTATAGTGGTTCGACCCTTTTGTTTTTTCTAAAGGGTTTTTACATGTTCTTTGAGTGACCTTTTCTAATTTACTTCAATGGAATGATTTATATATATGTATACGATTTCCCGATTACTCATATTATGTGTACCACATTGACGGTAACTATTCCGTTTTTTGTATCAATTTTTTTACCAACTATTTAATTTTAGTTGTACCTGAAGTAGGCTACTTGTTAGCCGAAACATGTTGTACTGAAAAAGATAAATAAAGAAATTGCATCGTTTAGTTTAGAAACGTTTTCTTACTCTTTCATTTAAAGAGCAATATGTTAGGAATAAGGTTTTCTACAACTTTTATGCAAAAAAAAATTTTTAACGTTCCGATTCTCGTACTCTACCAACAACAAGGTATAAAACCATGGATTCATCTAATTTTCACCTATTAGAATTTGTTTCAATATTTATGCATCTGAGAGCAAATGTGTGAAAGACTAATGTTGTTAACTAAGATTGACTCGCCCTTCTAATTCCGTGTATTCGCTGCTTCATCAGCTTCATTAGTGTTTGGCGCACTTCTTTGCGTTTTAGCGGTAAATGTACATAAGTAAATGTAAGTAATAAAAATATAAATAAGTTCCAAAAATTAGTCGGAAATGTACTGAAAGTAAAATTGAAAAATACTTACTACAGAGTGAAAGTGTAAATCTGACAACGATTCCGTTTCGGATGATGATGTAGATGATGTGGTATTTATGATGGCGTTATATAGTGATGACAACGATGAACTGCAGACTTAGAGCTGTCAGACGTTTCAAGTATGGATGAAGAAGAACGTCTACCACTAGTTAAGAAGAAGAAGAAGACTAGTAACGGTAATCCTGTTGTTTCTCATCCACACGTAAATTGTTGTGATAAAATTAGTGTCACAATCAGTTAAAATGGGCATCGTTAAAGAAACAAGTTAACGGTTGCTAGAAATAGATCATCGATCGGAAGAAATATTATTCATATAACACCAGGATGCACTGATATTGCAGAAAAAAAATAATGCCGATAAAAGTTTTCAGACTTTTTTTAACTGACGAAATCAAAAATAAAATTGTGTGTAACAGAAACTTGAAAATTCAAGAAAAGTGTGCTAACTATAAGGCACAAACTAAAACTGTTAGTGTGATGAGTGATACCGAATTTGATGCTCTATTAGGGTTATTAATTTTTTCAGCTGTCCAAAAAGACAATCATTTACCATCAAACGAGCTGTTTAACCCAGAAATCAGTGGTAATAGATACTACGTCACCATGAGCTGCGACTAAATATATGTTATACAGGGTGTCCAATTAGTGCGATATCGGACGATATCTCCTTACAGGGTGTCGCTAGAAGAAAATGTTTATATATAAAGTTGTTTGGTGCTCGAAGGTGCATAACCTAAAAATGTTTTTGTTTATACAGAGTGTTGCAAAAACAAAGTACAACTTCGTAAATTTAAATGGAACACCCCATATTTTATTACATTTTTGAATTACCTTTAAAATTCGACATACTTTTTGTTTTCTTGTTTTCTTCTTGTTTTCTTCTAGCGACACCCTGTAAGGAGATAGCGTCCAATATCGCACTAATTGGACACCCGGTGTATACGTTGAACTCAAATGGTTTGCCTCAAGCTGAGTTTTTTGTGAAAAAGCTGTCAACAACTTGTCATGGATCCAATCGCAATATCGATTGACAACTGGTTCAACACTGTACCATTGGCAACCTCACTCTTAGAGGATCCCTACAAACTCTCCATTGTAGGTACACTGAAAAAGAACAAACGAGAAAAGGGGTTAGAGACCGGCTTCAAGAAGGAAATTTGCCATGCAAATACACCACAACCTTATCTAGCCAACAAACTCCGGAAATTTATTGCGGATATCTTGAAAGTTTCGGTGCCAGATATGATCTTCTTCAAAACCTACCACGAACAATTTGTGGGATTTGCCCGTCCGTCAAGAGGTGGATGACAACTATCTACTGCTGCCGCTGCAACAAGCCGATCTGCGCTGAACATCGCAGAAAATGCTGTGTCGATTACGTTGAGGACTTGTAATTTTCAAATTTGACGTAAACATGTTTTTAATGATATATTCATTAATGCCAAAATTAGTATCTAAAAGTATTTTTTATTAAATTTTGTTTCCAGTCGTAAATTTTACGATGGTTTTAACGTCACTTTTGAACAGTTTAGCTTTCTAGGGTTAAGAATAAAGTTTGCTACAATTTTTATACTAAAACATTTTTTCTAAAATGTTTTGCACCCCTTCTTAGATTAACTAAATTATGTGTATAAACAAGAAGCCGAACACGGTATTATTCTGAGGGCGGACTATGGCGAATAAAATGACGTGTAGATCTTGATAATCATGTGAATTGTTTACGAGTGATGACTGTGCCGGCGCTAGCAAATGAGCGCCAGGGTGCGGGAACCGGAGTGGCGCCCCCCCCCCAAGCATTTTGGGCGGAATGCGGGGGGGCGCAAAGTCTGAAATTGCAATAATTATAAACTAGACTTCAGCAAAAAACAGGAATTACATTGTTCAAAGTCCACATGAAGTTTGAAGTTACTGTTCAGATAAAGCAAAAAATTGATTATAAACCAAACATGATTTTTCATGGCAATACTTATGTGTTCAATAAAAGAATGCGAAGAATATGAACAAGAAACCAATGGGCTTGTCTTGTTATTGTACAGGACAGGAAAACACCAATACGGAAACTTTGCCAATGCAGGATAAGCACAAAAGCAAAGTAACAGGTGCAGAAATGAGGTACCGGGTGGTACAAGTTCCGTATAGATAATAAGAGGCTCCCAAAAAGATGATGGTTTATCCCCCCAGAAAGAAGTAGCTGTCAGTATCAAGAACACAAC